TTAACAGTTAAATTCTGACATGTTGTGCAATCTGCCCAAAATTTCCTGATGTGACTCAGTGTCAGGTTTTGTTTGATAATGCTTCTGGGTAGCTTCTTGGGATTAACAATGAAATGATAGCAGTTGTTGTTACTAGGTAAGTCAGATCCCAGGTTTGATAGACAACCTTGTTAAAACAAAACAAAAAAATCTATCATTGAACGACAAGCATGCAATGCTGTAGATTTGGTTTTAAACAATGAAAAAGTAGTTTACTATGCAAAAGAAATGATGATAAAATAGAAAAGTATGTTTGAAGAATTTGAAAGTCATGGTAAAATAAATCCCACTTACTCCAAAAGCCGTCCTCTACAGTACACCAGGGAGAATATACTTCTATTTCACATCAAGACTCAGTTTGTGTGGCTTCAATGCCCCACCTTGAGAATGTGATAGCCCCTTCCTAATGTCCTCTTAAAACTGAGCTTAGACTTTCTCAGCTTCACATTACCCTTTCATGGTTTGAACCAAACAGCCCTGGTCTGGAACATTTAAACTAAACTCCTTACACAGAGATAACCTCTTAACTACATCGCTTTCTCACCTGTACTTGTTTACAAATCCAGCTTCTGCCAAGATTTCTGAGATGTACATAACTGAAACCTATAAGTTTTCAAGATATGGGTATTTAGCCTCAGCCCCAAAAAATTTCAGAATCTTCTATCTGAAAGCCTAATGTACTACAGTGTTTTATTTACATTCTTGTAGAGTCTCCTAATATAAACAAAACTACATTACTGTCCAGGAAGTTTCTCTAAAATATTGCATTTGAAAAAATAAACCATCATAGCTGTAGAAATGCTTATAAGTTATACAAAGAACACATTTGCCAGTTGTTCAAAATCCAAAAATCCAAAAACAAAAGCTCATAATATAAACACTTTGCATCATAACTTTTATTCGGAAAGTTACAGATTAACCAGGGATAGTCAACACAGTTTTGGTAAGGAAAGGTTGTACCTTACTAACATTGGGAGGGAAAAAATTCAGAGTAATGAGGACAGTAGTGCCATTGATACTATCCACATGGATTTTAGTAAGACATTTGACAAGACATGGCAGATTGGTCAGAAATGTTACGCCCTTGGGATACAGGGGAATATGGCCAGTTGGATCCAAAGTTGGCTCAGTGACAGTAAACAAAAATAAAGTTACTAGTGGACAGATGTTTTTGTAAGTGGAATGCAGTTTCCAGTGGTGTTCCACAGTGCTCAGTGTTTAGCCTTTGCTGTTTGTGGTAGATATTCATGATTTACATTAAAATGTGTGAAACATGATTGAAATGTTGGAAGATGACAAAAATTAGATAGTTAAGTGTGAAGGCAGGGGCTGTTGTTTGCAGGAAGATATCAATGGTATAGTTGAGTGAATGGAAAAGCAGCAGATGGAATTCAATGTAAAGAAATGCTAGGTTATGCATTTGGGAGGGGCAAACAAAGCAAGGAAGATACAATATACAGAATAATGTTGAGAGGGATAAAGGAAGTGAGAGACCTTGGAGTGCATATCGACAGGCTCTCTAGAGTTGGGAGGAAGGTAGGCAAGGTGGTAAAGAACGCGTATGGAATGTTTTGCATCAATGGATACAAAGAACAGGGATGTAATGCTATGATTATACTAGATACTGGTTAGGTCACAGCTAGAGTTTTGCGCACAGTTCTGGTCACATTGCAGGAAGAACAAAAGAGAGTAGCGAATCTTAAGAATACTGCAAGAGCTTGAAAACTGAGGAAAAATGGAATACACTAGATTAAAGCAGAGGTGGTGGAGAGGGGATTTAGTTGAGGTGTGCAAAATAAGGGTTTCTAAAAAAAATTCTCTCATGGGATATGGGCATCCTTGGCTGGGTAAGCATTTATTGCCCATTCCAAGTTGGCCTTGAGAAGGTGGTGGTGAGCTGCCTTCTTGAACCGCTGCAGTCCCATTATGTGGGTTGACCCAAATGGCCTTAGGGAGAGAATTCCAGGATTTTGATCCATCATTAGTGAAGGAACTGCAATGCATCTCCATGACAGGATGGCAAAATACTTGGAGGGGAACTAGCAGGTGGTCTTCCATATGTCTGCTGCCCTTGTCCTTCCAGATAGAAGTGGTTGTGGGTTTGGAAGGTGCTGTCTGTCTAAGTATCTTTGGTGAATTTCTGCAATGTATCTTGTAGGTAGTACACACGGTTGCTACTGAGTGTTGGTGGAGGGAGTGGATACTTGGGAATCTGGTGGCAGTCACACAGGTTGCTTTGCCCTGCATGGTGATAAGTTTGAGTGTTGTTAGAACTGCATGAATCCAGGCAAGTGGGGAGTTTTCCATCACAATCCTGACTTGTGATTTGTAGATAATGGACAGGCTTTGGGGAGTCACCTCGGTATTCCTAGCCTCAGTCCTGCTCTTGTAGCTACTGTGTTCATGTGGCAAGTCTAGTTGAATTTCTAGTTAGTGGTGTACTCAAGGTTGTTGATAGTGTGGGATTCAGCGATGGTAAGACTATGGAATGTCAAGGGGTGGTAATTACATTATCTCTTATTGGAGATGGTCTTTGCCTGGCATTTCTGTGGCACGAATGTTACTTGCCACTTGTCAGCTCAAGCCTGAATATTGTCCGAATCTTGTGTGCATTTGAACAAGAGCTGCTTCAGTATCTGAGGAGTTACAAATAGCTCTGAATATAGAATAGAATATAGAATATCGAATATCCTGTTACTGTCACATGTACTGACTTGAGCGAGTACAATGAAAAGCTTTCACAATATCTGCCTTCTTATGGTGACATCTTAGGTATAAGTACCTGGGTACAATCTTGGATATAGCAGAATAATAAAAGCAGTTGCATTACTTACAGAATTGAAAAATAAGTTAAAAATAAGACATCATTAAAGGATTGACATTAAAGTAAAGTAGGAAATTTCAAATAGACATTAGTGTAGCAGCTCAATGCAGAGCCTCCGCCAAGCCTCCAGTCCACTCCGTACCTGCACTCAGCTACTCAAAGGTAAGCCTGGGGCTCGCTGAACATCCCCACTTCTGACCTTATGAAGGAGGGAAGGTCATTGATGAAGCAGCTGAAGACGGTTGGGCCTAGAATACTACCCTGAGGAACTCCTGCAGAGAAGCCCTGGAGCGGAGATGACCGACATCCAATAACCACAACCATCTTCCAATGTGTCAGGTATGCCTCCAAACAGCAGAGATGTGCCCCTGATACCCGCAGATTCCAGATTTCCTAGAGCTCCCTGGTGCCGCAGTTTGTCAAATGTGCCTTTGATGTGTCAAAGGCTGTTATTCTCACCTCACACTTGGATACAGTGCAAAGGGAAGATTTATTTTCCTTAGCAGAACATTACCTCTTGGGCCAACTATCGGAAAGCACAGATTTAAGGCGAATTAGGGTAGAAGGATTAGGGGCAACATAAGGAATCATTTTTTCATCCAGAGGGTGGCAGATGTCTGGAATTTGCTGCCCAGTGAGGTAGTCTGAGGTGGGAATTTTCAACTCATTTAAAAAAAAAGGAACCTGGATCTATATCTAAAGTGATATAACCTGCAAAGCTACAGATCAGGTTCTAGAAAGTGAGTGTAGAATGAAAGGAGAAACAGAAAGAACTGCAGATGATGTAAATCAGAAACAAAAATAGAGATTGCTGGAAAAACTTAGCAGATCTGGCAGCATCTCTGAAAAGAAATCAGAGCTGATGTTTCGGGTCCAGTGACGCTTCCTCAGAAGCCTCAGAGTTCTGAGGAAGGATCACCGGACCTGAAACATCGGCTCTGATTTCTCTTCAGAGATGCTGCTGAGCTTTTCGAGCATTTTCTGTTTTTGTTTTAAGAATGAAAAAGCTGGTTTATTCAGCCAGTAGAGACGCAATGGACTGAAGGGTCTCTTTCCAAGCTGTAACTTTTCTATGACTTCATGATTTCTAAGGAATATAAATGGATTTTCAGAAGCCATTTTGACAACCTTCTGAATGTATAGTATTACACAGAGTGCAGGAATATACTGGAGACACAGATAACAAGGTGTAGTGCTGAATGAACACAGCAGGCCAAGTAGCATCAGAGGAGCAGGAAAGCTGATGTTTCGGGTCTGGACCCTTTTTCAGAAATGAAGATGGGTCCAGACCCGAAACGTCAGCTTTCCTGCTCGGCCTGCTGTGTTCATCCAACTCTACACCTTGTTATCTCAGATTCTCCAGCATCTGCAGTTCCTACTATCTCCATATACTGGAGACAGTCGGTGGTCAGAAATTTGGAGAGAAAATTTGATGGTAAAGTTACTAGACTAGCAATCCAAAGGCCTAGGCTTATGCCGCTGGTTAAATTTAAAAAAAATCCGAATCAATAAAATCTGGAACTGAAAATTATTCACAGCAACAGTGACAATGAAACTTTACCTGACTATTGTGAAATTCACTAATGTCCTGGCCCTAGTGATGTAGCACCTCTAAGCTGGGAGGCCTGGCTTCAAGCCCCTACATGTGCAATAACAACTCTGACCAGGTTGGTGGGAAAATATCTGCACTAGTGACCTTTAGGTGGGGAAATTTGTCATCCATACCCAGTTTGGCTTACACGGTGACTCCAGGCCCACTGAGACATGGTTGACTCATCACTGCCTCTGAAGTGATCTAGCAGCCATTCAATCCAAGGGTGATTAGGAATGGGCAACAATACCACCCACATCCAATTAAAGATTTTAAGAAAATACAATGAAGAAGATGTACAGTAGACAAATACTGGCCAATTCGGAGAAGGCTTAAAACCAGGGGCTGGTGCCATACATTTAAGTGCAAATATACCTTTCAGAGCTGGGAAATCTGAAAACTTGATAACGTGACATGAGGGATAGTAAAGCAGTGAGACGATTGTGAAATACTCCAGGAGAACACAAAGTAAAATAGTGGCAAACAAGCAACAATGTCAGGTACTGGCTAAAATTTTAAAGAAGCTTCTTGACACATTCCACTCACCGATGAGTTAGGTGTGTGACGGAGAAACTTAACTACTTTAGAGTCCGACATTGGGCAAGCAAGAGCCATATAGCGGTTGCGGAAAGTGCCATAGATCTTTAGGTGGGAGCCTGGCCTCAAAGTAGAGGACTCCGAGCCTTCCTTGTTGTTGGAGGAGAACTCCACCCCATAAGCAGACAGGTCAAAGTACAAACTGTGAGCACGGATCTCTGGAGTGGGGACCTGCATAGAAGCAGAAAGATAATAAAATGTTAGAACTGTCATTAACCCATGGAAGTTGCTTGTAGCATTTTTATACCAAAGTGACAAAATTTTGTCAAAGTTTCCAGTGTTTAGAACAGATAAAAAAGGTAAATAGATTTGTCGCTACCTTTTGTCTTCCTCCAAGTCTACAAAATAACATTTTGTATCACAGACATTTGAGAAATTAAATGATTCTCGTATTTGTCAGATAAAGTCTGTAGTAAACAATGAAGACCACAGTTAAACATACGTGACATTTGCAACAACTGGGTTCATTTAAGATTGCTTACTAAACAGATGGGAGAAGCACCTGGATTGTATCAATATCTGTTGAGGCAGATTAAGGGACCATAAGGTTATTAACATTTCTGCTTGATATTGTCAAGAGGGAGATGTGTGTGCAGGAACTTAATGATTTTGAAAGCATTTGGCTCAACAGGGTGGCACAGAAAGCAACCTCCAGAGAATAATCATACAGACTTTTTCATCCTCCGCATTTTCTCTTTGCTGGATCCAAATCAATCATTCTAGCCAAATGGATCAGGGTGTTCTTGTTCATAAGGAATTGACACCTAACATGTTGGCATGAGAAGCAATTGGTATGTCAAATGCCACATTGGCCTTTATTGCAAGAGGAAGTAAATATAAGATTAAAAGTCATCTAGGTAGCAATCTAGGAAGACAACCAGCCTGTGGTGAGGGAAATGCTGGGAAACTAAGTGGCTGAGTTGAGTGCAGTCCTTTGTATCCAGATAGATAGAGCTTACTCGATGTCAATTAACTTGGCTATGTTGTATGAGACAGTTAGGACAAGAAGAGGTTAATTGGCAGTGTTTGCTCAATGTCTAGCTGGATAGAAAGGACCGCTCCTGGAGTCTTCAGTCTTCACTGGTAGGACAGTATAGTAGACCAAGCTGCAAGTGGACAGAGGAGAGGAAAGGAAACAGTCTGAAAGAAGAGGCACAACAGTTTAAAACTGATAACATAGGAATACTCAAGCATCTGGGACACAGAAGAACACAATATCAGAGGTAGTGAATTTCTTCAACGTGAACATGCAATCTCTAGCTTAAGGTCATGAGCTATCATATGGGGGAAAATAGTGCATGTTCCCATAACGAACACAGTCAACTGTTAAATTTGAAGTTGGGATTGTGATCTCAGATGCATTAAGTAGGGTAGTAACTTCCCTGGTTCAAATGTTCCAGTTTTGTACATATCCAATGGAAATGCATTATGACTGGTGAGGTCATTGCTATAGTCATGCAGCACAGAAACAGACCCTTTGGTCCAATTTGTCTGTGCTGACGAGACATCTCAATCTGATCTAGTCCCTTGTACTCAGGATGATAGGTGTGTGCGTAGAAGTATACAGCAGTTATTTTGAATTTTTAAAAATTTCATTGTTAATTTATACCTGTTATCATATGCGAATTTAAATATTTTCTTTGTGTATTGTTGCTTTAAATTTTAATGAAGGGTTGATGATTGGGGTAGGTTAGGGTGAAGTGTGGGAAGTGTGGGAAGTGTGGGAAGTGTTTCCTGGAAGTAATTTAAACTAACAGGCACAGGGTAAGTTTGCCACTGAACGGAGAATGGCAGATGGTCTCATGAAGTTGGATTGCTAATAGGATATCCTCCATTTTCCTCAGGCATGTAAGCACGTTGGATTACAACAGAGGAGCAGGCTTCAAGTAGAGTGGCATGCTTCAAGTGAACAGAGGCAAGGTGGAATGAGAGACTTTTGTACCTTTAAATCTCACACTACAAAGCAGTGATGAGCATGCCTTTTAAAGGCATACCAAATTTGATAAAAATAAACATGACGGAAACTTATCCCAAAATATACACAGGGTTGTACACAGGCATGTGTTAACAATTTGAAAATGATACAAACCAAAGATTACAAGATTAGGACTTCAAACCTCAAATGAAATGCTTCAGAGATTTGATGACTGATCCTGATCTGGTGATCATATATGCATCTGATGTTGCTTCGTGTTGCATTTCTTTGACAATCTAGTTGCTTTACCGTCAGTTTGTTGCTCCTCAACTTCACCACATAATCATAGTTTGATTCTTCTTCCCCATTCTCTCTAGGAGAGAATGGTACATTGAATATTGTTGCAAGTTGGCTTCTGTACCTTCACAATGTATCACCATGAGCCATAATGGCATATGATCTGCATTGGTTGTATATTCTAGAAAACACTGCTAGTATCAAAGTACTTGTAATTCTAACTTGCACTCTCTGGCCTGTGCACAATTTTGGTGGTTCCCTAACTGCTCATTCATTTGTTTAAGGATGGCTGTTTTGTGTCCAGACTAGTTAGACAATTGGTTGCTTTGCAATATCAGTCATGCTTGTGTTCTGAGCATTAGCTGTACTCAGGTTTGTAATTCCTTTCCCATTGCTGCATTTTTATGAAACACCAATGAAGTGCAAAAGTCTTGCTTTGTTGCTCGGCCCTCGATCGTCATTGATTGGATAGGGTGTACCATACATCCCGCTGGAGCATTTGATTGTAGCTAGTGGGGTTCTGATATGACAGGGACAGCTCCCCACCTAGGGCACTGAATAAACTGAAAATAGTGTCCACTGAGTCAATGATAGTCACATTCCTTTCGTTGTACATTGTTCCTTGCTGCTCAGAGAATCTGGACATCGGAAATTTCCAGTCGACCTCTGAGAATTGACTATCGACAAACTGAATTCATTACCCACAAATTGCAGCCTGGTAGCCCTGCTGTGCCCCACACCTACCCCATCCTGCCCGGGAGAAAATTGATAGGAAGGCAGGATGATAGCAGGAAACCAGCACACTGGTTCGTGGCTCAAATTTGTGCAAACCCAACTCTGAGCTCACCCTCACCAAGGCCCAAATATTTTGCTACACAGCTCATTTTTGCTTCCTCAGAAGACAACTGAAAAATCTTCACAGGAATTGGCCCATTTAGTATCCACTTGGGATTTCATTATGGAGCAGGGTCAAGGGAATGAATGGCCTACTCCTACTCCAGTGATCGCTAAAACTCAATTCCATATATTAATCATTGATGCAGTTTTATTTTAGTTTTATACTAAAATGCCTCTGTCATTAATGGGATTGGAACACTATCTGCAATCGTGAGCCGCATTTTATTTTCCTTCCTCAATAATAATTGCTATACTATTTATAACATTTATCTTTTCATGTGAATTGGAAGTGTTCTAGGAATGTATGGCTAGCAATGTAATGAACTTCCTCGAGTAAATTACTGCTAATCAAATGAATTGTCATAATATGCACAAATTTGGGAGTCTGGGCCATTAATTCAAACATTTACTCAGCAACATATGAACTGTCTCTCCAATACAAATTGTCATTACATCCCTATTAACTGCCCCAAATGCTTACTCCAGCTGCAACAGGCATGATTATCAAATACTGTTACTGAATCATCTTCAAAGTTTCACTTAGATGTACTCTTGGATCAGAAGAACTAGGCTTCAGCTATTTTCTCTTCCCTTTCTGTAGATAGGGAACAGATTTCGACATGCAAACGGAAAAAACTGGCTTCAATCTTCTCAGTATTTAAAAGGAGGAGCCTTTTGCTCAGGCAGTCCCAGATGCCTGATGAGCAGTCCAACAACTAATCAACCATGGAGTATAGGCCGACCTGTGTTGTTTTTGAGTTTTAGATTCTGGATTTAAATTTGTTTAAGAAGGTGGTGAGTTTGTGTATTATAAAGAAATACATTACTAAAAGTCCACAATGCTTTCTGTTTTGTTTTATTTCTTGCCTCAGAAAGCAAAACTTTGCGCTGCTACACGATATAATGCTAGTAGGGGATTGGTTAGCTCAGGTGGTTCGAAGATTGGTTTGCAATGCAGCGTGGGTTCAGTTCCTGCACTGGCTGAGGTTGTTCTCTCGACCTCTCCCCTACCAGAGGCGTGGTGACCCTCAGGTTAAACTCACCTCCAACTGCCTCTCCAATGAGAGAGCAGCTCTATGTTCTGGTAAGACTATGGTGAGTTTACACACTTTATAATACAGTAACACTTAAAAACACCCAATTTTAAAAAAATTATTCACAGGATGTGAGTGTCACGGGCTAGTTCAACATTTACTTTACTGCCCATCCTTAATTATCCAGTGGGAAGCTAAGAGTCAGCCATATTGCTGTGTGGCTCCAAAATCACAATTAGGCCAGACCAGGTAATGACAACAGTTTCCTTCTGTAAATGACGTCAGTGAGCCAGATGGACTTTTCCTGACAATAGACTGTGGTTTCATAGTCATTATTAGATATTTAATTCCAGAGGTTCTTTATCAAACTCAAATTCCACCATAAGCTTTGGCAGGATTTGAACCTAGATCTCTGGAGCAATCGTCCAGAAAGACTGCTAGGCCATCACCTCCCCTCTGTCTGAATGCAACACACAGATTCTATCAAGCTACAACCACATGAGTGATGATGGTGGTGATGGTGGTCATCTCCAGAGTCAGATAGTAAGGTTCCAGGAGTTATTTTCCTAAAGTACAGCATTGATTGCCTCAGCAGTTGGAAAGACTCACCATTTTTGGTTGGGTTCATGATCCGTATTCACTGAAGCTACAGGGACAGGGACGGGGACAGAAAAATCTTCATTCAAGGTTCCTACAAGCACAAATGGTTGGTCTTGGGGCAGACGCTCTGTGTATGAGCCAGATTCCTGTGCATTCAAAAATTGGTTGTGTTTGACCTCTGGGACAGTTATTGCTTATCAACAAACCAATTTCCCCGATTGGCTAGCTATCACAAGGTTATTAAGTACCTTCGTTAAGAACAAACTTCTGCTCACTGTATGAGAGTCTTTAGTTAAATAAATGTGCTGTTTTATTTTGTTTATAGTACATGAACCTTATTGATTGCCAGCTCAGGTGTCCCAATATTGACTACAGTTAGATCTTTTCGAATCTGAAGCTCTCGATAAAGCTTTGAAGGGGCTGATCTC